ACGAACTATTCCCTGTTGAGCGGTTGGTTCGCTGCTGAGCGGATTTCCGATGGTGCATCACTGGTGAATACGTATGCGACCATCCGTGATACTGCGTGAATGGCTACTCGCGGTTGACGTAGGGTTGAGACTCGTGGTTTAGACCTCGGCTGGCAGCATGCCATACAAAATATATTGTGCTTGGAGTCACCTCAGCGTTCATATGCCATGTATTACCAAGAACGAACGACTTACAACAAGAGAGACATCATCACGTTAAGCTGTTCTTCCGCTACATCCGGTATAACGAGCATCAATATCACCTAGACTGGATCCCCCACCGATGGTAGAGTCATAGCACTCGTTATCTGCCTATTTACACAGGCAGAAGAGCAGGCTGTGTGGCACCGTACCTCACAGGCAGCTGGGATGTGATGTGATGTGCGGTGACTGGATGGCTGGGAGGTGTCGAGTCACATCAACGCAAGCGCTCGATGAAACCCTGTGCCAATGAAAAAGGTGCGTGCGTGAGACGTCACCTCAGTTGCCTCGCACCGCCATCCTCCATCCGGAAAGACATTCTCAGAGAATCACTGGCTACGAGACTTCGAGCCAAGCTGAATCACAGACAACCTCCTCTTAGGATAGCGAGACAACTGGCTGAGAGACGAATGTATCAGTAGACACGTAGGTAGGTTTCCAGAGCAGAGTCAAAGTAAGTAAGAAAGATGTAGGTAGTGACTCGGGTTGGGCAAGAGACAATAGCCAATATGGGAGTTGGCAGTCCAATACCGTCCAGATCCTTGCTCTCATTGGCCTGGCCTTAACCCGACGGCGAATGAGGACTCGTAGTCGGGTAGCACAGATATATCGAGAGATATTAAACAAAGATGCACGACATCTAGCATAACTACCTGACCTAGCATCATGCGCCTGGACTCTACATATGTATTATATTATATGTATTGCATCGCAGAGATCCTCGGATGGGCTACAAAGTCCAGCCCATCCTGCCCCCATCCTGCCCCATCCTGCCCGTGCCTGGTATGGATGTCTGTATTATGTATGCAGCAACAGGCCCCCTCCCCCTCAGCGTTCCCCCTCTTTTGCCCAGAACGGAAGAGACCTGGGACACCTGATGAGATCTGAGGAGGAGGCGGGGGAAGACCAAGACCAGAGTCTGATCATTGCTTGATGGAGATCAGACTTCGCGTCTGGCCGGATCTGACCCTCTCACACCCTCTCAAGCTCTCACCACACTATCGTACCTACATAGTAAGTACTATACATATACTAAGTCATCTCGGGCGATGACGAAAGCAGGCTGTCTGTCGTCTTCTTCCTACTGCCTGTTGTGTAAGTGACGCTGTCTGCCGTCTATAACTGACGGACGGCCAGCCTGCCTGTCTTTCGATCGATCCATCTACACATACTTGTTCATTAGAAGACCTATGTGTATGGTTTACAGGCCATATTCACGGATCTGCTATCCTCAAGTTTGATTCTTGAAATTGCTCGGTTGATCAAACCAGCACCTAGTCACCTATGAGATATAAAGCTCGCGACTAGCTAGCTTCGAGGACAATCATTCTACTTGTCTGCCGAGATCTAGCAGGAATATTAACTCGGTCATCTTCTCATCCACCGTACTATTTCGAAATATTCCCGCATCTTGGGATCTCTGGATAACCATACTACGTCATCAATTTAGCCACTCAACTACAGTAATATCTGCAGACATCGGCTCTTCACCTCCTGCCATTGCCACTGCGCCACTTGCTATCGTTCGCCTCCAAGGCAATCTGTCGCAAAACATAACCGAGGAACTCTTTTTTTGTGTTTTGCGGCGATAAACCAATCAACCTGAACGTCTAGTTTTCATGATAGCCTGCCTAGTTGGGGACTCGCACTGGCGGCCGTTTCGTCCGTGCACTTACTACGCCACTTCTTGAAACTGCTCCCTTGGCCAAGCTTTCCGTCTTGCGCTGAGCCGCTCGGGCCGGAAGAAGAACACGACATCCAATTGATTGGAGAAGGCGGCCTTTGCTGCTACCTGGAAATATCTTAGTCGTCGCAAACTGTCTGCGAGCGCGATCACGGGGATATCTCAAGCCGTTTCCCTCGCGCGACAGAACAATCGAGGTCGAGGAAACGGTCGAGGGAAATGGACCCTGGACCTTGAAGAGGAAAATTTTCATTGCCTCTTAACAGTGTAGATATACTCTCTCTACACTTGCGCTACAGCATAGGAGGACCGGGATCATCACGGAGGATTGTCTTACGCACAGCTTACGGACGGCGCGGACTTTAGCTGCCTGGCGTCGCTCGTGTCTCTGTGTGTACACTCATTCGCACCACATCTCAATCTCGCTAAACTCCGATCCAATTTCAGGGAGCTCACACCAATCCTGAAATTATACCAAGCCTGACCAAGCTATCGATCTAGTGTATTCCGACATCCCAGCACCCTGGAATCCCATCCCATCTTTCTTACTTATCTAGGGAGCCAGGTTTACACGCGCACGTACACTGTTCCGCACAAGCTAAGATACCGGCTAGAAGGCCAATAAAATAGGTGTCTCACCACATAGGTATCTCTAGACACGGAGATACGAACACGGCGGCGGGCGGACATATTCCACCCGTAGATATCGCATCTGAGAGAGCTGCCAACTGCCGGCATATTTGACAGTTAGTTTTTGTCATTGCGCGACTGCGACACTCTTGGTCACGTCATAGCGTGGGTATTCTGGCAAAGGCCCTGGAAATCCTGCACTACAGAAACGCCGGGCTGGGAATTGAATTTACCAATTGCGCAACGATCGTCGTATTCGGCCTATTCGGTCCCTTGTTGGTCAAATTGTTGAAAAAAAGGGAAGACAAAAAAAAAAAAAGACAAGAGGCCTCAACTGCCAGGCTCGCCCCTTGTTGATTGTCTGTGGCAAAGTTGAAAAGAGCTTTGCTATTTGTTCCATTCCACCTCGAAAAACCTAACAATCATAGTAAAGGAATGATTGTTCTTCTGATCGACTGGTTGTGATTCATCGCCAGTCATCTAGGACAAAAGCGCACGCGCACACTTTCACATGAAAGTAGACCCAACAGCGGCGCTCCCCAAGGAAGAAAGAAACGTCGACCAACCAAAGACAGCAGCTCAATCGGAGCTGAGGAGTGGGAGGCGACTACATAAAGTGCCTTGCTTTCTGTGGTGCAGTGACAGGCGAGAGCTGAAAAAGCGAAGCCGATCCACTCATCGAATGACTCCCGAGGTTCCCAAGACCACTAGAAATTGGGAACAGCAAGGCACTGTAGCCACTGTAGCCACTGTAGCCACTGAAATAGCCACTGTAACCACAGCTGGGCTGGGCTAGGCTAGGCGCGGACCAAGAGTGGAAGCCGACGGAGAGCACGGAGAGACTGTTTGTCACCCGGACCGCTGTGCCGGAAGAGTTAGTGATTGGGTACCCTACCTAGGTACATCGTACTCAAGTACCTACTATAGTACCTCTCACCAACTGAACAAACGCTGTCCAAGTATCTGATTACCTATCGAGGTACAAACCCTCAGTGGCACTGCTGGACGGTACCAAACAAGCTGCTGGGTTCCACTGGCAGACACTGGAGAGAATCTGAGAGAGACGGGAGCATTGCGTTGGGCACAAAGTGCGAGCCGGAAGGTTCTCGGACGTTGTGGCTGTGCTCACCAACAATTACCAATCAATCGCCGGCCGCTTTGACAGGCGAGTTAAGCCTAAAGGGGTATCTGCGGGTATCTGCGTGGTTGATTACACGCCCCCCGGCCCCTCTTCAGCCCGCCCCCTCTCTCTGGCCTCTCTGTCCTTCTTCTTCTCCTTCCAAGGTTCTCTTTTCCCTCCACTACGCTATACTTCCCTTTTAGGCAATATCTATACTACGCTAGGGTAGGTAAAAGGTACCCTCAGCACACACCCATACACCCCCGATAGCCCTGACTGTCTGTTACCTACCTACCTAAGTACCTAGCCTAGGTAGTGTACCTAGGTACTTAGTGCGGGCCTGTTAGTAGTAGAACAGGAGGTAGGTAGCAGGTAACGGTAGCACTAGCCGACGCACTAGCACTAGCAGGGTATACGCGAGTACCTACATACGTTTGGTATTACAGTACGTCGCCAAGGATCAGGGCTTCAGAGGCTTCCGTGTTCCCTGCCCCCTGCCCCCTGCTCGTCTTGGCGGTCCCTCCCTGCCCCCTTCAGCGCCAAATAGCGAGCAACAAAAAAAAACACAATTAGCAAAATACTAATAACACAATAAAAAAATTTCTCGCAAAGGACAGGCTGGTCCCACCCCAACGCCCCCCAGCCAAAATCAATCCCAGGGCAGCCCAGGGCCTCGCCAGCGCTGTCATCTACCCACAGCAATACGCACACGCACACCATACAAAAGCATCCCGCCCGCACTCCCATCGCACACAAATTTCTCGCGGTCATATTTTTTCCTCTTTCAATTTGGCTCTCGCCATACACTGCCCCAATCGCTCCAGTCCCGCGCTTGTTCGATCCCGACCGAACCGACTACGCCGATTTCGATCGCTGCCGTCGATTCGTCATTGCCGCTGACAACGCTGGATTGCGAATGATCCGGCCCCTTCTCGCGCTTTCTCCAGCAATCAAGGTCGACGTCCCTCGACTTTGATCTATAACCCGCCCTCCATCCTCACCCTGGGGGATAACATTGTAGATTTGTAGCATGTTCTCACCAAGAAGTCGGTCTTCCTCTCCTCTTCCTACCGACCACAATCCCAGGTGACGGGCGTCACTTTCTACAGCGTCACGACCTCGGCGCCATCTGTCGATTCCACCATCTCAGCATCACTCTTCCCCTCTTCTCGCGCGCGGCCAGGGGGGCGACGGCGAAATAGCAGCAGACGTATTTCGACCATTCCAGCATCCCAGCGCGAGTATCCTCGACAGACGAGGAGTCCCCTTTTCCGAACGAGCATCGCGGCCCTCAGCAGCAGCAGATTCCGCTCGATATTCCCCACGATGAGCCAATACGGTTCTCCTTACGCGGGCACTCCTCATAGAGGAGCTGACCCTTACTATAATTACGACGTGAATAGCCCCTCGCCAACACCGTCGCCACATCACTACCCATTCTACCCAGCAAAGACCCCGCAACGATCGTCGACGCGAAACCACGTTCGTGGTGCCAGCACCGGCTTCGGTGGTGACTTCGTCCCACGCCCGACCACCGCCTTCTCACCTCGTTACAAGAGCACCGGTGAATACGCCACTGGCCCAAGTCCGCAAGTGAGTTCGCGAAAGCGTAGTTTTTCCACAAAAGGGTCGAAATACCATTTTCATCATCATCATCATCCTGACTTTGACTATGTGACCATCGAGCCCCCGAGGCGAGAGCGTCGCAAGTCTTGTTCTTACTATCGGGCCTCTCATGGGGACTCCGACGAAGACGAAATCATCGATGCCGGCAACGGTTACGTCTATGTATTGGAGGCGCGGTGGAAGGGTTCAAGGCACAGAAATCATTATGACTATTACACTGATCGTCCGGAGTATGGCACTGATTCCCGCTGCTACCCACAGGCTATTCCCACATTTGCTTTTGAGAAAGAGAAGGCCGAGTACACTCGTTATGAGGAACCTCCACTACGCTCCGCCACCAGGGTTGGTCATCGCACCCACTCACGTCGTCCGTCCGCCGGGCCTATTCCTAACATACAGCGTCCCGCGACGGTCCGTCCCACCGCCGCCGTGCCGAAGAAGACCGTCACTGCTCCCCCCCCTAAGGCTACGGAGGCCGATCGCAAGAAGCACTGTATACCCGTCGGGTACTCACTTAAGAATTGGGATCCCACCGAGGAGCCCATCATGCTTCTAGGCAGCGTCTTCGACGCCAATTCTTTGGGCAAATGGATATACGACTGGACCGTCTACCATCACGGCGCTGCTACCCCTATATCGGACATGGCGGGTGAGATGTGGCTCCTACTTATCCAGTTGTCAGGCAAGATAAAACGTTCCGAAGAGATCGTTCCTCAAGTTCGGACGCGGGCCAACCGGGAGATGATCGAGGATTTCATTACTTCAGGCGAGCGCTTGACAGATAGGCTCCGCTCTCTTCTCAAGCGATGTGAGACTCCCATGCTCTCGGTTAACAAGAAGCATGCGGCGCAACAGCTCGGAAAGAACTCCGGTATCGAGTTCGTCGAGACTCTTTTCGGTCGTGAACGTGAGCTTGCCAAGACTGAACAATTTATGCAAGCCGTCCGCCTTTGGAACCTCCGGTTTGACGCCAACTGTGAAGATATCTTGAAGAGGCCAACCCAGTAAATCTCCGTTGGATGGATGCCTGGATCTTCCCATTGGACTTATCAAACCCTCGGATTACCCTGTCTTTGGTTTTCTCCCACAGGCCCACCCAGGATAATCCCATCACTACTACTACCCTAGATACCACACACAAAACTCAACCCTCGAACAAGATGGATTCCTACCATCGTGTACCACCACCGGGACCTATTACAGGCTTTTTTATCCCACGGACTTCCCTTCCCGGAGTTTCCTATGTGTTACTACTGTCATATTATTTGAGCCTCAGGGCAGTTTCCGCATTACGGGGGCGAGAAGGGCTTTCCATACTATTTTTCTGTCTCCGCTATTTCCACTTTTTAGAGATACCCCAGAGCAGAGGAGAGAGTTGATACGACAAGTGAGAGAAGATGTAATGGAGGGATGAGCGCAATTCGTATGCGCTTTCTCTCCGTCACCTGTCGTTATGAAATACACATTTGCGCCGCGCAAGCAGCACACACGAACGAGTACATGAGTGGTCCGATACATGAAGGGCACATTCAGGTTACGGAAGATAAAAGTTTGGACTTGGTGGAATCCGGTTCTTTTGTTTCGTTTCTTTTGTTTAGACCTGAAGCCAGCCGCGGTCATAGGCCTCGGCTTCATTGTTTGAATCTGTCGCCATTTGGGATATGACGACAGGGAAGCGAGCGATCGCTCTGCGGCGACACCAGCGACGAAGAGAGTTGTAATGGAATATTGTGGAGGAATTTGTTTTGCCGTTGCCGCCATCCTACCTACCTACTGGACGGGACATGACAAGTTATGCGATTGATATTTTTGTTGTTTTTTTCGAGCGCCGGGCGTTATTTTTCCTCTACTCATCTTTGGCTGGACTGGTTACAGCGACACTTATAGAACTAGCGATGCCAGTTGGCTCTAGTGCACACTTGGGTTTGTTCACTGGCTGGCTGGATTGGATATACCCATCATTATTTTTTCGGTCTTCGGTAATTTCTGTTTTTTGTTTGGTTGTTTACTTGTAACGCAATATGTAGCGGTATCGACCACAGTTCGTGGAAGGCGCGGAGATAGTTTGAAATTTTGAAAACCAATTACTACTCTTATCTACAATATCATTCATGTCTTCGCTTGTGATGTTCTACAACTATAAATACAACTCAGTTTACTTGTATTCCAATGTGAATGTGCATCTCTATCTACGAAATGATTTATTCCACCTAGACTCTATCATGACGATGATAAGGTCTCTGTGTTTAGTTAGTTTACTTACTTAGGTAGTTATTATGCACGTCTCCCGCACATTGGGCCGGGCTGGGCTGGGCTGAGCTGGGTCGCCCTGTTGCTGCTGGCTGCCTGCAGGTTAGGTAGCCCCGCGGACCCGCGTGGAGACCTGGCATTTTCCCTGCGCTCGCCCGTTGCGCCAAGACGATGCTGTGTAGATACCTAGTGTAGGTAGTGTACTTACGGAGTAGGTATGTATTAACAGCATGGTATTTCCCTGGCGATGGTTGCATGCGGTGATACTACGCTAGGTAGTGTAGTGTAATTGGAGATAGGTAGTGGAGGGTTGGGTAGGCTTTCTATTCTGGGGATGCGGCGTGAGTAATAGTGTGTGTGTACTACCTAGTCGAGGAAAGCAGGGGGTGGAGATGCAGAGAGAGAGAGAGAGAGAGCCTTGTGTGATGAGATGAGTTTTTTGAGATATGTGTGCTTCGTTCAGTTCAGTTAGTTGGTCTTGGTCGGATGGTATTTGTTTAAAATTAGATTGCATATCTGGTACTTACTGACTTATTTACTTGCTTGGAATATTCTATCCCTTGGCTTGGTAATCGATTTATCTATCTGTTGAACTTTTTCCATTCCTATCTCAGTCCTCTTTTTTTGTTTTTTATCTTCCCAAATAAGAAAAACAATAATTGTATCATTATTAATGTGCGTATTAATTCTCGTTTATTGTGCGAAATGCACGGCTCAGCTTGTGGCTCTTGTTCCCTTCCCTTCCCTTCCCTTCCCCTTGTCAGTTCATGGATTATCCCTTGTTCACGCCGAAATTACCTGAGAATCTCCGGTACACAATTTTTTTTTTCTTTTACTAACTATTGCTGGGGGATGAATCCTGGTGTGGTGCGGCACAGTTTGCGCACTCGAACATATAAAATTCTACAATCATTACGGTACAATGGAAGAGAATACCTAGTAGAAGAGAGAAGATGATGAAAATTTTCTTCCTCTCGGGAACTTCTTCTTTGAATGTCATCGAAGCGCTGTGGCTTGTTCGGTATTTGTCAATTTAATCATGTTTGGCTGCTTGAGTATCTATACGTGATGGATTGTTGGTAGGTATGCGCATTGATAGGTGCAGGAATGTTGGTAAGAATGCGTTTGGTTTTCCGACCTATGGTATCTAAGCAATCAATCAATCATCTTAACCACCTACCTATCTATCTGTATGTATGTACGGAGTATGTATGTATGTCTGTATGTATGTCTGTATGTATGTCTGTCTGTATGTCTGTCTGTATGTATGTATGTCTGTCTGTCTGTCTGTATGTCTGTCTGTCTGTCTGTCTGTCTGTATGTCTGTCTGTCTGTATGTCTGTCTGTCTGTCTGTCTGTATGTCTGTCTGTCTGTCTGTATGTCTGTCTGTCTGTCTGTCTGTCTGTCTGTCTGTCTGTCTGTCTGTCTGTCTGTCTGTCTGTCTGTCTGTCTGTCTGTCTGTCTGTCTGTCTGTCTTGTTGTATTACGTTACATTGTGCACGTGTAAGACTTTGCAGCAAACAACAAAAACATAGCGATAGGTAGTTAGGTACTATTATGAGTAAACAAATAATACCGCGCCCGGTGTACTGTAGGTAGTACCGTATGTAGCTATAAGTAAGAAATCGCGGGTAGGCATTTTCCCTGTATTGTCTTTTTGGGGGCCTGTTTGGATCCGATTCCAAGAAAATTGGTGATGTACGCTAGGGACTGCAGACGGAGTACAGTAGCGCCCTTCACCTAAGTAACAGGGCAGGATGCTGGCATCACCCTTGTTTCCTTCTGCCCTGGTCGAGAGAGTAGTGTAGTGTGCAGGTTGAAAAAGGACGTGCTTGTTCAGGGGTGTTTCGGGGAAGATCAGACTAACAGTGATCCATGAGATGAGGAGGCTTGTGTTCCCCTTCCCGTGCGTTGCGTTGCGTTGCGTACAGAGTCACCGCGCTAATCTCTCTCACCTTGGATGCAGGTCGTCGATGCTTTGGCCCAGCCCATCGTACAGTACCACTTTGTCCCTCTGTGATGGTGGCTCGGCCGATATAGATCGCCACGTGTATGGTGGCCTTTGGGGGATTTCTCTCATCTGCTCGTCACTTCATGCCTCGCACAGGAAAGCTTGATATAGAGAGGGGCCCTCATTCGCCTGTCGTTGTGTGCACAGGTATTACATAGTACGCCTATATTCGCGCCCGGTTTGTTTGCAGTCGAGTATCACAGCGCATCGAGACCGTGGTCCAGGATATGCTCATCGTGGTTCATCTGAATTCCTAAGTAGCGCAAGGACGCGGCTCATCGTACCTTGCGGCTCCTTTTGCGACCCCTATTCATCCAGTCATCCCACCCTATCCATCCATCCGTCGTCTATCTATGTAGCTCGGCCCGGATAGAGCTGCGTTTGGTTACTACAATACCCGTACTGTATACACTACACCCAACCTCCATCCTGCATCCCAGCGAGACAAGTCCTTTGTACACAGTAGTATCTAGGGATTCACAGCGAAACCAGCCCAAATAGTCATCGGCTCTTGTGTACTGTGCAGATGTGGCTGGTGAAATAATACAAGAATGTTTCAAACGCGACCAAACTGAAAGGGGTGTGTAGATGAAACGAAGGGCGTCAACTAGTCGTGCCTATATTGGAGTAGCGTAGAAGAGGGTAATTCTATTGTTTCTAGTGTCTCCTCGTGCCCTTTTCTCTTCAACCCTTTTGATGGATGGTATCTTTTTTTTTTTTTTTTTTTTTTTTTTTTTTTTTTTTTTTTTTTTGTGGGGGTTGGGGGGGGGGGGGGGGGGGGGTTTGTGTTTATAGAAGCGGGAAAACGGGGAAGCGGGGGAGAAACGTGCCCGATGTGAAACTA